TGAAGGGCTGTTGATGATGATCTTGGGATTTTGCAAATGCTCTCCTAGGTGTTGGTATGTACCAGAAAGGTGAGAAACATGAAATGCTGCCAGCTCTCAGAGGTGCGCTGAAAAGTCTTTTGATATTTGGTTTTTCTGAAAATGCAGGCTTTAGAAACCAGGGGGTCATATGGACAAGCGTAGCTGAAAGGTCCTGAAAACACACCGTGAAGGACAAGAACCACAAATGAATGGGTTTTATAGTTAACATTCTCTTTAAGCACAAATCTTATTTTTGTACCGCTTGCAGTTGTAATACTGGAGAGCCTCAGGCAGGTAGAAGTCTCTGCTGACCTTATTCCTCGACAGCTGAAGCAGGTTGCCATGTTTGTACAACTGTATGGGGAAGGGCTTACAATTCAATTGTAAGACAAGTGTTTGCAGGATGATTGTCCCCATCAGCGTAGGAGCACATTTTGTATTGGGATTTCCAGCTTTGTTTCCACATATGCCAAAACCATACAAGATAAATGAGGCGACTGGGAGACTCACATCATGACTGAGTCATTGCCTTGAAATTAAATTCAAGAATAAGGTGGAGCATGGTCTGCTCATCCCCGTTGTGCCTGCTGGGAACTGGACCGTCTTTTCCTTCTCTGCTGTGCTTGGCCCTGTTCTTTATTAGACTTTTACTAGGAAGAAAGCTCTCTCTCTTCCTTCTCATCCTCCTCCAGCACAAAACTGGGGGTGTTTTTTTTCCAGTGGGGAGACTCTTTGCCACCTGGCAGCTCTTCATCCTCTGAGTTTGAGAGTCCTTTTTGTTGCTCAGCCAGGAGGGATTGTTTCAGGCTGCAGCTTGAATATCTATTCTGGCTACATTCGTTTCACAGGAAAAGACTTTGTCTCCTGCTTCCGTGTATCAAGGCATTGAAACAGGTGGGAATTTCCTTACTACAGGTTAGTGGTGAGACCAGAAAGATATAGTGACTAACCCCTGCACAGTGTAGGCTTTGGTAAACGTGGAAGAACTCATAGCTTTCACCGAAAGGGAAGCAGCTGTAAGTATAGACAATGTATGTTCTTGGTTAGATTCCAGCTCAGGGCACTGTTTGACTTCTAGGCACTCTGCTTACTTTTTAGTGGAAGTTTCTGGCACTTAGGTTTAAAAATACAAGTTTGAAAATGCCACCCTGCCTTTACTAGGGTGACAGTGGCTGTGGGTAGCTGCAAGGAGTGGATCTCGGAGGTTCACTGGGCCCCACTCCCTTTCTGCCATGGACCAGGAGGAGAGGAGTCCCCAGCATGATGCTCTCTAGTCCAATCCCCATGATGCCACCTGGATTGCGGAGGGATCCCTTCTACTGCTGCCCTTGCATCTTCTGCCCTGCATTAGGAAAAGGGCATCTAATGGAAATGGGACTGTAGGAAGGGAGGCCGGATCCTCATCTGCACGTGCATTGCCATTTTCCGGCCCTGCAATACGGCCTTTTTGGCTGGGGAAGCCGAGTTTCTGGCTCTTGGCCAAAGGGGAGCTGATGTTTTTAAAGTTCGTCAGCCAGGCAAGGAGTTTGGAACTGGCTGAAGCTTTGCATTTCTAGCGCCAGCTGCTCATGATTTGACTAGAAACAGTTTTCTAAGATGTGTGAAAAAATAAAAGTTATTAAAATTCCCGGGTTGCTGATTTCCATTTGAATCTAAATAGTCACACTTTTATTAATATCCTGTAATTTATGTCGCTGGTGGCATAACCTCAGTCCTTGGTCTTTGCACTTAAAATGAAAATGTAATCTCACCTCGTTCCCGTGAAATGTAGTTTACTGGCACATTGCAAAACTGTGAGGGGAGTCAGTGCTTCAGTGCCTTGAACTCCATAGAATAAGCTGACGGCACGTTTGCTATCACTGTCTGGATGTGTGTAAGATGTAGCTATATAGAAGGGAGTTTGCAACATACACCATATGAAATACACCATCAAAAAAAATTTGGTGGGTGCAAGCGTTTAGAGAAAACACAGCGCAGAGGTTCGAGTAAGAGAAATTAGTTGTATGATTGAGTATAAAAATCATATAATCTAGTGTCATTGATTTCCCTTCTTCCTCTGTTGTAATGGCTTGACATTAAACGATGACGGGTCGGATTATCTTGCTTTCTTCAGGATTGTACTTACCCACGTTGTGCCTAACCTGTTATGGATAAAATAGTTTTGTCTCTACTTCCGACAGTGTCTTTCTCCATTGCAAATTCTTCTGTCATTGTGTTTTAAGGTGTCTATCATCTTGATATCCGAGTGCCAATTAAAATGCAGAATTATCTCAAAATACAATTAAAATAAAAAACAAAGAAGCCTAGTTTACAAATCTGTAATCTAAATTTAGCTCTTTTTCGGTCACTATTTCTTCAACTAACTGCAAAAACAACTATTTGAAAAAAAATTGCAGCTATCAGATATTTTGTTATCTGACCACAGGGTATGAAGTGTTTTTAATTGTTTTTCTGATTAACTGCAAGCTCCCAAATTCAA